CCGACCCGGGTTCGAACCGGGGACCTTCTGCGTGTAAAGCAGACGTGATAACCACTACACCATCGGACCTGGTTCCTCTCGGCTCTCTAATCAGTAATGTAAGTCGTCATATTGGATGGAGATGCAGAAATATCAAGGTACGGAGGATCAAGATAATTGGTTATCCCATGGCTGGTATTCTTGACATGGACAGACAACCGAGACTGAAACGCTACTAACCGTGCATGGGTTCATGTGACGTCTTGTGCACACTTGATACTTAATCTCTTGAGTGAGTTCCCGGATCCCGTATCAGAGCATGATCGGATTTTAACTTTCCGCACTGTTGACCTCCCAAGGTGGTTTACCTATTCCTTGACACACTCTGGAATATCTACAGCGTGAAGCATATCATTTACATATCCATATACAAAATACAAGTAACGTATAAAGTAGGATACTTTACACTGCGTTGCAGTTCAACAAAATCCGACAATACAAAACAGCACTGTACTACTCTACACTATATTACACTACACCGTACCATACTACACTACACTATAGCAGGCGCATACAGTACAAACTCAACACAGAATACAATGTGACGAAGCAGTAATGCAAGCCGTAGGCTCGGGGTGGAGTAGCGCGCGAGAAGCCAGAAAATGAACGGAGTTGTCTACCGTACATACGCCGAAACGTGTGCTCAAAAACTCTGGTTTATATGCCACCGTCTATGGCACTTTAGACAACGGAGAGACTTGATGAGTATGTTTCATTTGCTTCCAACTTGTCAGACTCCCTACAATAAGTGATCCCGGGAGTAAATTGGAGCGAAGGATAACGGAAAGCCGGCCGTGATGAAAGCTGCCACAATAATTTCGAAGGCAACGGACACAGAGCGAATCGGCTGCTCTCGAATATATAATAAGAGAGAGGGCCGATGAGACGAATTTCGTCCTCTTTTCTGTAAGAGAAATTGAGTACTACAGATGTAGCGATGTATACTACTGATGAAGCATGGGAGTAGTCTGTGATCATGTTATATCTCAGCCCCGCATCTAATGAAAGGTGAAGTTTAATGGCGGAACCTGGAAACTGCTTTGCAGTGTTCGTTTGCTGTTGTGCAACAGTCAATGTGTATGCATGAATTTTAAAGAAAATGTGTGAGAATATTCAGTTTTTAAAAATATGTGCCTATNGATGGCAGATGATTTGGATAGATAACTTGGAAATCCAAACTTTTGTCCAAAAGTATGCTCCAGTTGGTGACAATGACAAATATGAACAACTTTATTCTCTGGAAGTAACATACTACTCACAAGGCTGTTGATAATTCCACGACCGGTTTCACCCATTTTGTGACTCATTAGATGGGTGCAGTGCTCGATTTTCCGTCAAACTTATGTCCTACTTTCATGAAATTCGACAAATGTATTGAATATGCTGCATCAGTTGTTGAATAACATCATAAAAGAGAAATTCAGCCAAGGTTCAGGTGAGCCTGCCGCAAAAACCAAACTGGTATGCAACTGGGGGCATCTGTTGAACTCCGTCCTCAGTTTAGACATTAGTTCAGGCAACGTAAGGTGGAACCCTAAAGCTGATCGGCCTGAGAGTGTCGGCTACCAGGAAAGTAAATGGCATCGGATCCCCAGATAAACAACCTCGAAATGAGCCTGGAAAAGCGTTCACCACTGACCAGCTGAAGGGAGTTTTTCTCACCCGCATTCTATTCATTTGTGGTAAAGAGGTAAGCTGATCTGACTGCCGGTTGGGTGCGTTTTATCACTTTATAAGGGTTCACTTACGGACCTAATTTTTCCGCAATTCACAAATAGTTAATGCCCACATCCCACTGGCTTATTCCAAAACTGGCATCCATCTGACCAATACCGATCAATACCAAAGAGGGGACTTTATGCAAAAGCGTGTCTGGGCTTATCCCATGTTCGACATTGTACTGCACGCATCGAAACACTCTATTCAATCTGGTGAAGGTGTGATTTATTCGGTTTCTGTAGCTTTCTGTACCAAAGTATCGGCCTCTTTATGACAACGTGTATTGACCCCCTGACTTGCAGCCTATGTGGTACTGGAAACGGGAATTAGTAGCTAGTCCTGTATGAGGAAAACAACTCAAACGTGGTGATCCAACGTGACGAATACACAGAGGTGCTCGTCTCACCTCAAGGTGAACAGCTTCCTCCAATGGCCCACTGAATATCGTGAAAGCAAAATGTTCTGCCAGATTTCCTACGCGCCGGATTTTGAATCATCCCCTAGGCCAGCGCACTCCTTAGATATGTCGTTTTGAAAAACCGGTTTGCACACAGCGATTAGTAGTAGTCTGTTTCGAAGTGCATTCGATCAAAGATCCGTTTGCGCCACATGTGTTGCTCATATCCCGCCTAGCACTCAGACAGCAGCCCATATGACGTCAGCAGTTTCAAGGGAGCTGAGCCTTTTTTGTGGCACACCAGAGGGAACTTAGATATACTGGTCAAAAACACCGTAATGCTAGCTTTCATGTCATGTTCATTGGTATCATCTCTCTGGGTGAGATTAAACAATAATAGTGTGTGCATATGTCCACAGCCAACTGGATAAACACTGCGAACAGAATCCCAAAGAACCCCACGGAACTCAGCGACTTTCAAATGTTCCGAGTCAGGCTGCTGAATCCATGAATCTTCAAACAGAAATTATCCATAACGGAGTCGCAAAACGCTGCACCAACTCGGCTTGATGGCAGTGTTTGGCCGGAGCAAATAAGTTTCTATTTTGTAGTGCGAATTAAACAAATCTCAGAGAGTCGAGCACTTTCGCAACACAAATTGCAAGATGCTGAGCTTTCTGGAGGCTTTGTTGTTTTTAGCTAGGTTTGTTAGCACATCTGTGTGTATCACTTTAGGCAGTTGAGTTCGATAAGGAATCTCCGATACGGTTTCTGTTCTAATTATGCGTATCAAAGACCCATTGGTGTTCCCTTTGAATTGCACCTGTAAGGGATCCACTATGGACATTGTTTGAAGTACACTTGTGAGGGGTCCTTCAGGCACCTTATCAGACCAGCACGCAT